CAGAGGCTTGAGAGAGTTGCCTTCCTGATTATTACTGCCTAGTATTTCAAGCATAAGAAACTGTCGTCTTCCCATCCCCCACAAGTTTGTAAGAATTGCTTGTTCCAGCAAAATCCTAGAGAAGAGAAAAAATTCCTTTAGTCATTTTGGAAAGGTTTTGAAACCACAGCTATTTGGAATTATGAATAATTGTCTGCCTGTGTTGTACCTCTTCTAAGTCACTGAGCATCCTTGCACGAATTCCCCCTCGCATTGCCGACGTGTGAAACTGCACTGTGCTTGCCTGGTGAACAACCCCTTTCTACCACTTCTCCTCAAGTTCCTCAGAAAACACACACTCACACACATACACACACACACACATACACACACTCACACACACAATTCCTTTTAGGTTCAAGATAATCGAGGTTGTAGAAGATCAAATGTTGTGAAAGGGTGAGCTTAACACTTGGCAAATCTCAGAGAGGCAAAAATATAAGTTCTTAACCAATAGTGTTCTTTCTTAATGGCCGACTGTATTTTAGTAAGCCTGCGATTTAAAAAAGGTCATACATTGGGCACGTTACAATTATGCAATTTAATTAATGGCAATCATAACAGAATTCCTACTTTAAAAAAAGCAATAGAGCCATCCATTCAAATCAATCATAAATCTTGGCAGACTTTATTTTAATCCACAGTTAATAAGGAGATTTTTATCAAGAACTTCCTGTACATAAACTTCTAAATGCCTATAGTTGATATTTGAAATATAAAAGATGGTCCCTCCAGGTGTAGATGTATAAAAAAGACAAGTGTAATAGTTGGAAGCACATTATGAATGAAAATTGATGTTGAGAGGACAAAGACTTCTCAGGGGATAGGATGATTTATTTATTCATTCAACCGCACATATAGAGCCTCTCCTACATTCCAGACACTATTCTAAGTGCTGGGGGAACATGCTGAGTAGACATAGAAGGTCTTTGCTGTCATAGAGCTTACATCCTAGTAGGGGAAGATACACAATAAACAAGCATATATATACTGTAATGTCGATAGTGATTAGTGATTATGAAGAATAATAAAGTGGGGTAATGGGATTGAAAGAGACCAGGGTGGGGAAGGTGCACTATTTCAGATCATATCTGAAAAGAACTTTCTGGGAAGAGAATATTTCAGTGCAGAACTGAATTGCATGAAGCAGTGAGCCATGCAGAGAGGTGATGAGTTCCAGATAAAGGAAATGACATGTATGAAGGTGCAGATAGGAATTAGATGGGCAGGTTCCGAGAAGAGCAGAGGTCTGGTGGCGACTGGAGAGTAGTGAGCTTGGGGAGAATGGTTGGAGAGGAATCCAGTGGGGAAAGGCAGGCAGTGCTGTGTAGGGCCATGCAGGCCACTGTGTGTGTGACAGAAGGCCACGAAGCTTCTAGCTAGTGCTGTGGTGTGATCAGATTCAGACTTTAAGAACATCACTGGCTTTGAGAGGAATGTCTTATACAGAGGTAGAGAGGGAACCAAAGCCAGTTTGGGGGTGTATTAATTAGGATAGGCTAAACTGCTGTAGCAACCAAAGGTGCAGTGGCTCAAACACAGTAGAAATTTATTTCTCACTTGCATTAACAGTCTAGGAAGGGGGCTCTGAATCAGTGGGAACTCTCTGCATTCCATGCATTGACTCAGGGCTTCTTCCATTTGTGCGACTTAACCATCCCCTAGGACCTTGTCATGTGCAAAGAAAGTTGAAACTGAGTTACCAGATGTCAGGCAGAGGAAGGAGAAGGTGCACGAAGAGGCATCCATTCTCTTAAAGACGTTGGCCCAGAGTGACACTCACCACTTCTGTTCACATTCTGTAGTAAGAACTTAGCCACATGGCCACACCCACCTGCAAGAAATCCCGGGAAATGTACCATAGCTGTGGTTGGTACCGCAGGAGCCCACTGCAGAAAGTGGATGAAATGTGGAAGGGGCTTGGCCGAGGATGGGAGCCAGGGAGATGGTGAGGGGTGATCATACTGAGAATATATTTCCATAGTAGAATCAACAGGACTCATTGATGGGATAGATGCAGGTGTGAGAGAAAGAGAGGAGTCAGGATTCGCTTACATGTTTGCATAAATGGTGGTGTCACTTACTCAGATGAAGAAGACTTGGGGGTATAGATTTCTGTTTTAATTATGTTAAGTTTGAGGTGCTTATTAGCCAACTCAGGGGAGATATTGAGAAGACAGAAAGATACTCAAAACTTAAGTTCAAGAGAGAGGTCAAGGATGATGTAAACTTGGAGTCATTGGTATGTCATCAGTATTTAAAGCCATGGACTAGATGAGATCTCTTAGGAGTGGGCACGTATGGAAAAAAGAAGAGAGCTGAGGACCGGATGTTGGGATACTCCGAATTTTCAGGTTGGAAGGAGGAGGTGAGCCAGCACCTCCTGGAGAGGAGGCTGAGAAAGAGTGGGCAGTGAGATAGGAGAGAAACCAAGGAAGTGAAGCTCCTTAATAAAGAAAGTATTTCAAGAAGGAGAAAGTGACCGTGTGTGTCAGATGCTGTCTGAAAAGTCAAGTGGGATGAGGACTGGGAGTTGACCATTGAATTTGAAAAGATTCAAATGATTGGCAACTTCAGTAAGAATAGTTTTAGTCGAATGGTGTCTACAATCTTAAGAGTGGGTTGAGGAAATAACAGGACATAGAGATTGCACAGCAATTCTTTTGAGGAAGTTTGCTATAAGGGAGACAAAGAAATAGGGCAATAACTGGGGGGTGACCTGGAGTCATTTAGGTGGAAGAAATTATAGTGTATTTGTGTTTGATGGAAATGATTCAGTAGGGGACAGAAAATTGATGGTGTGAGAGCAAAGTCCTTGAACAGGCCAGAGGGGATGGGATCCAGGGCACAAGGGCAGGGATGGGCCTTAGGTAGGAGCAAGGCTGCTCACCCACTATAACGGGAGGGAAGGCAGAACAGAGTGTACAGATGCAAGTGAGTCGGCAGATTTGGTGATGAGAGGCTACAAAGTTCTCTTTGGAGAGGAGAGCTTGTAAATGTGTTATATCAGACAGTAGGAGAATTAGTTGCCTGAGTATGAGACTGCTGAGGAATGCTGAAATGTGGAAGCAGATGTATATGCAAGGGAATGCTGATAATCTTGGACCTTGGGACCTAAGCTAGGTAAGAGAGCAGTGAAGACAGGAGGCAGGTGATGGAAAGCAAAAACATGGTAGGGCAACTTGTCTAAGGGTCCTTCTGTAGACCTATGAATAGTTGTAGTGAGGAACTGCAGAGCACATGAGCTAAAAAAATTTTTTTTAAAGGAGGTTATGGGATAAGAGTAGATTGCTTAAAATTATGATTTAGAAAGTGTAAGTTAATTGGTAATGACAAACCTCAAGTGTGGCTAAGAAAGTTGATAGTTGAAGTGAACAAAAGATTGTTGGAGTGAGGATTTCAAGGAATTGCAAAAGCAGGACATTGAATGAGTTGTTTATGTAGAAGTCACTGTGAAGTCACCAGAACGATGGTGGGTGGTGATAGAAAGATGGTGAGCCATGGGCTGAAATCTTTAACAAGAGAGGGGGTGACCATGAAGTTGGTAAAGGAGTTTAATGATTAAGGAGAGGGCATGAAATAGTCTGATGGCCTGCACTTCAGAGGGGCCAGGTCATGAAGCCACAGTGACCAGAGAGGATGGAAGGCTTGGACCAGGAATACTCAGTGAGTCTCCCTGTTTGCCAAGCCTCACGCTCCAGATGGATGTGGACCCTGTCCTCATAAAGCACATTATCCAGTGGGTGTAGAAACACATAAATAAATATACAACTACAAATAATGGTGAGTGCTATGAAGGAAAAGAAACAGGTCATGAGGGAATAAATTTAGATTTTGTCGTGGACCTGATTTTTATGAGGAAGTGCTATCTGAGCTGAGACCTGAGCAGTGAGTAGGAGCTAGACAAGCAGAGGGCTAGTGGATCCGTGAGAAGTGGGTCCCAGCTACCTTCCAGGGGCCAAGAAAATCTCAGAAGTGGCTGAGATGGGGAAGGAAACTGGCGTATGAGACAGGGTCTGGACACGTAGTGAAGAGGGAGGGGCTGGCGCAGTCAAGGCAGTTTGGCTGAAGCGGAAATTTGGTATTGGAGAATAGAGAAAGCGCCAGTTAGGGAGCTGTCAACCATGTCTCCTGAGCAACAAACGATGAAGGCTGAGAATACCTGAAGGTTTAATGTTGAAATGAAGTAAAAACATACAGCAAAGTTAATCCAACATATCATTTGTTTCAAACACTATTGTTGTGTTCATGGTAATTAGACCATATCGTTAAACAATCTAGATGCGTTTTCATGGCTAAATTGAGCATTTCTGGAACGAGCTGTAAACCAGGAAGGCAGAGCTGAGAAGCTTGGATGTGCCTGAAATCCGTGGAGGACAAGGCGGAACCACACATTTGTTTATTGTCTGAGCCCTTTCCCCTCGGCCACCATAACTGCCAGAGGAAGGAATCAGAGGAGCTATTCTCCCTCCCTCTCTCTCGCCTTCATCAGTTATGGTCTACCCGTGAGACTGGGCTAACCTGAGCAACCTTCATGGCCAGAAGGTAGCAAAGACCATCCCACAGTAGAAAGAAACCAGCGTGGCCCGACAGTCCTAGTGGTCATACCTGGAAGCCAAGAATACCTGATGTCCAATTTCCCACTCTACCCCCTTACATCTAAAAACGAGGGGAGATCTGAAGTCCCCGTTCCCCAGACGAAAGACCTGGACAGATGTGCAGTGGGTTTTAGAGGAGCTTTCCTCTCCTCTCTGCCCCTCCCTTGCCTTCTTTCTCAGATCCTTGGCTGGTGGGAGGCCTTAAACACTTCTTCTTCCTTATCCAACAGCAAGTACTAGCAGTTGTCCTTCAGGTTAAGCTACAAAATTGGGGAAGAGGAGCTCATAAGTATTTGCTTATCAAAACAAAAGAGGGTTTAGTAGCAAATTGATAGCCAAGGATTTGGCTAATTTATTTTTTAGATTTCTTCCTGAAGTCCAGGGTCCAGGAACAAGATATCCAGAGGAGACCAACTTCTTTCTACAGCCACATGTGTAACCCCTGGGTCTCCCTGTTGGGGGTGAGTAACTTCATCTTGTTCTTGATTGTCCTTGGGACATAATTCATGTGGAGATGTATGATGTTGGGGGGGTGGGGAGGGAAGGAAAGAGGGAGAGCTTAATTAGAAGCAATATGATTTAATTACCTGTTGTATTAGAATTTAGATGAGACTACATATGGCAAGATTGTATTTATTTAATGAACCACTTATTTTAACCAATGACTTATTTTTTAAATAATTAATAGTCTCTGATAACCTCTGTGTTACTAAATTTCTAGGCCTACCAAATTAGCATAATTTCATCCTATTTGTTTCTTGTAGGGAGGAATGGGACAAGGAACTAGGATAGAATATCTATTTGTTGATAGCTTTGATTAAAGGGTTAGTTTTGGAGGGTGTCTTCCCAATTATCTGCTAAGTGAGGTTCTTTAAATTATGAGTGAATGTCAATTATTCAGACTTTTACAGTCATTAGAAATTGATGAGAGGGACTACTGTTTCTTAAGGCCCTAGTAGGTGGCTTGCCTACCATGTGGAAAACCATTAGGTGACTTGCCTTTCCTACTCTGTTTCTACAGGCTCTTGGGTCCCTTCTCATCATGTTTGTGATCCAGTGGGTCTATACCCTGGTTAACATGGGTGTTGCTGCCATTGTGTATTTCTACATTGGCCGGACCAGTCCAGGGCTTCACCTTGGTAAGCAGCAGAGCCATTTTGCCACCACTTCCCTCATTCTCTTTAGCATTCATTGGAAAAAATTTTCGAACACCTATTAAATGCCAACACAGACTCAGATATGAATCCCATTTTCAAGTAGTTTATAGTCTGGAAGGAGAACTATGACATATACATAAATGATTATAATGAAAAATAATGGCAACTTATTATAAGGTTTATAAGATATGTGGAAGTAAAATGGATAATAGCACAAGAGCTAGCTTGAAGGAATGAAATGCAAGTATACTGTTATAAGTTTCTTGTACTATATATTAAGTACTGTAATATCACCTCAACATAGATTGTGGTAAGTTTAGGATGTAGACTGTAAACCCTAAAGCAACCACTAAAATAACACAACAAAGAATTATAGCTAAGCCAGTAAAGGAGATGAAGTTGAATGAAAAAGTACTCAAATCAAAATAAAGTAGATAAAGAAGAAAAAGATATTAAAGGACATATGGGACAAATAAAAAACAAATAGCAAGATGGCTTATATATATGGCATATATAGGGTTTATATATATAAACCTAATCATATCAATAATCATACTAAATATAGATGGTCTAAACAATTAAATGTCAAAGATTGTCAGATTGAATAAAAAAGCACAATCCAATTATATGCTGCCTACAAGAAACCTCTTTTAACTATAAAGACACAAACAGGTTAAAAGTAAAAGGATGGAAAAAGATATACCAGGCTAATATTAATCAAAAGAAAGCTAGAGTGGCTATGTTAACATCAGACAAAGTGATTTTAGAGAAAATGTTACAAGGATAAAGATGGTCATTTTATAAAAATAAAGGGAAAAATTAATCAGGAGGACATAATGAGGCTTAACAGTTAGACACTTAAAAACAGAACATTGAATTACATAAAGCAAAACCTGATAGACTACAAGAAGAAATAGAAAATTCATAATCACAGTCAGAAATTTCAACACCTCTCTCCCGATAATTGGTAAAACAAGTAGGCATAAAATCAGCAAGGCTATAGAAGACTTGAATAATGCTATCAACAAACCTGACCTGACCTTTATAGAACAGTGCACCCAACAAGAGCAGAATATACACTCTTTTCAAGAATACATGAAACATTTACCAAAATAGACCATATTCTAGGACATAATGTTTCAATAAATTAAAAGATATTCAAGTCAATTTAAGAACAAAGTATGTTCTCTCACCAAAAAGGGAAGTAATTAGAAATAAATAACAGAAAAATATCAGAAAATACCCAACTTTTTAGAAACTAAAGAACACAAAATAATATTAAAAAAACCTATAGAAACTAAATAAACCATGGTTCAAAAAAGAAAGCAGAAATGAAATTACAAAGCATTTTGAAGTGAATAAAAATGAAAATACAACATATCAAAATTGTAGGATGTAGCTAACTTAGTATATAAAGGAAATTTATAGCATCAAATGCTTATATTGGAAAAGAAGAAGCCAGGCATGGCAGTGAGTTATCATAGTGCCACTGCATGCCAGCCTGGGCAACAGAGCAAGAGAAAGACCCTGTCTCAAAAAAAAAAATAGAAAAAAGAAAAATAAAGAGGTTACAGTGATGACACCACTGCACCCTAGTCACCCTCAAAAAAAAAAAAAAAAAGAAAGAAAGAAAGAAAAGGAAAAGAAAGAAAGAAGAGAGTTCTCAAATCAGTGACCCCAGCTTCCAACTTAAGAAACTAGAAAAAGAAGTACAAATTAAATCTAAAATAAGAAAAAAAAAGAAACCATAAAGGTCAGCATAGAAATCAATAAAAATATAGAACAGAAAAAAATAGAGAATACCAATGCAACAAAAAACTGGTTACATGAGAAGATCAATAAAATTGATAAACCTCTAGCCAAACTGATCAGAATAAAAGGAGGCACAAATTACCAATACCAGGAATGAGTGAGATGACATCATTAGAGATTCTACAGATATTAAAAGTAAAATAAAGGAATATTAGAAATAGCTTTATGTCAATAAATTTGACAACTTAGATTAATTGGACAAATTCCATGAAATGTACAGACGACCAAAGCTCACTCAAGAAGAAATAGATACAGGGCTATTCAGGTAATCTATTAAGAAATTAACTTGGTCATTAGAAACCTTCTTACAAAGAAAACTTTAGGCCTAAACCCTTTGAAAAACTACATACTGACATATCTCATAAATGTAGATGCACAAAGTCTTAACAGAATTTTAACAAATTGAATTTAACAATATATGAAAAGAATAATACATCATGACCAAGTGGGCTTATCTCAGCAATGCAAAGTTACTTTAACATTTGAAATTAATCAATGTAATTCACCATATTTACAGATGAGAAAAGGAAAACTACAAAACATTTCCAAGAAGAAAATAAAGACTAAATTAAAGAAATAAATGAAGAAATATACTGTGTTCATGAATTGGAAGACTCAAAATTCTTAAAAATGTCAATTGTCTCCAAATTGTTATATAGATTCAACACAATCCCAGTCAAAATCTCAATTACCTTTTTTGTAGAAATTGTCAAGCAGATTCTAAAATATTTATATGGAAATGCAAAGGACCGAGAATAGCCCAACTAACTTTGTAAAAGAAGAACAAATTTGGAAGACTTACACTTTCTGATTTCAAAATTGATTATAAAGCTCAAGGCATCAAGACAGTATGATGTCTTGTCTAACAAGCTAGATAAGTAAGTCAATGGACAGTAGAGAGTTCAGAATTTGACCCATACATGTATGGTTAATTGATTTTCAAAAAAGATACAAAGGCAATTTAGTGGGAAGAGTGTTTACAACAAATGACACTGGAACAATTGAACATCCATATGCAAAAGATGAACTTCAACTCATATATCATACCATGTAAAAATAACTTAAAATGGATATTAGAACTAAATGTAAAATCTAAAACTATAAAATATCTAAAAGAAAATATAAGAGAATACTTTTGTGACTGTGAGTTAGGCAAAGATTACTTAGCTGCAACACCAGAAGCAGGAAAAAAATTGGTAAATTGGACTTCATCAACATTAAGGACTTCTGATCTTCAAAAAACACTGATACTGTAATGCAAAGACAAGTCAGAGACCATGAAAACATATTAGCAGATCATTCATCTGATAAAGGACTTGTATTCAGAATACATAAAAACTCTCAAAATCCAATAAGAAAAGAAAAAACAAACAAAAAAAATAGGCAAAAGTTTAAAATAAACTTCACCAAAGAGGATACATGAATGGCAAATATGCACATGAAAAGATGCTCAACATCATTAGTCATTAGGGAAATTAAACCACAATATGATACTACTACACACCTATTAGGATGACTAAAATTAAAAATACTAACCATACCAAGTATTGGCAAGGACGTAGAGCGACTAGAACTACATATACTGCTCGTGGGAATGTAAAATGATACAACTACTTTGTAAAATGGTTTGGAAATTTATTAAAGAGTTAAATGTATACCTGCTATATGACCCAGCCATTGCACTCCTAGGTATTTGCCCAAGAGAACTGAAAGCATATTGCCGTACAAAAACATGTACATAAATAATTGTAGCATAATAATTGTAGTAGCCAAAAACTGGACACGACCCAAATGTCCATCGACAGGTGACTATAAATAAATTGTGGTATATCCATGCAATGGAATACACTTGGTAATAAAAAAGAATGAACTATTGATACATGGGTGAATCTCAAAATAATTATACTGAGTGAAAGAAACCAGATAAAAAGGATGCATAGTATATTATTTTGTAAAATATATATATAGTTATTGAAAATGTAAACTAATCTATAGGGACAGCAGATCAGTGGATGCTTTTGGATGGGGTGGGCTGGGGATACATGGGAGGGCAGTCTTATGAAGTGGCTTGGGGAAACTTTTGGAGGTGATAGATATGTTCATTGTCTTGCTTATATGATGGTTTCACAGTGAATATGTATATATGTCAACACAGACCAAATTGTACACTTTAAATACAGATGCTCCTCAAATTACGGTGGTGTTATGTACCAATAAACCCATATTAAGTCAAAAATATCCCAAGTTGAAAATGTATTTAGGCCAGGCATAGTGGCTCACGCTTGTATTCTCAGCACTTTGGGAGGTGGTGTATTCTTAGCACTTTGGGAAGATGACGTGAGAGGATCACTTGAGGCTAGGAGATCAAGACCAGCCTAGGCAACATAGTAAGACCCTGTCTCTAGAAAAAATTTAAAAATTAGCCAGGCATATTGGTACACACCTGTAGTCCCAGCTACTCAGAAGGCTGAGGCAGAAGAGGATCATTTGAGCCCAGGTGTTGGAGGCTGCAGTGAGCTATGATGACACCACTGCACTACAGCCTGGACAAGAGAGTGACAAAAGGCCTGAAATGCCAGAGCATCAGGATTACAGAAAATAAGAAAATATAGTCAATACACAGTTTATTGTACATCAATTGTTCCTCAATAATAAAGCTTTTTAAAAAATATATTACAAAAACCTTTTCAGCAAAATTTTCTGATGCCCCAATTTAAAACAAATCAATTAGTTTTAACTTCTGACTAAATCAGATGGACCATAACAACTTAGGCAAACTAAAAAAAAAGTTCTTCAGAATTAGAATAGTCTCATGTATATTTCTGAAAGGAATGCACTCAAAACACTTCAAGCTACACGTCCATTAAAAATAATGATTAGAGATACAGCAATGCTTATAAGGGATCTTTATATCAGCTAATTTCATGGATAGAATATATATTAATTAATGTAGTGATTATTTCAGTGATTGCTTCTGAATTTCTTTTGAAAAGTTTGATCTTAAAAAATTTAAATATTTACCAGAAATCTATTCACAGGAAAGTATGAAATCAAATTTCAGGCCAATGTCCATCTAAAATTTGGTTGATTTAGAATCTAAATGATCACACTTAAGTAAGGTCAGTTAATAAAATGGTTATGTTTATTTTCTTCCTTCTGACAATCTCAAAATATATTAGGAATCTTTTCTTGGCAATTGCAGGTATTAAAGCAGATCTAAAATTTATCCTCCCTTGAACCATAAGAACCCTAAATGATATTGAGTAAAACACACATTATCAGCTGCATGTTGTTGACCTTAGGGATGGGTTTCTAAAAAAAGATTGATAAACCCTATTCGAGTCAGTGTCTGACATCAAGATTATTTGGCTAATATCAACAACAATCTCACTTCAAAATTCAGCTCTAACATTTCTGCATGTTGATCTATTTGATTCACTTCACACCTGTCGAAACTTCCTAAGTGCCAGATCCTGTGAAGTATTTGAGGATTACAAGGATGAAAAAAACATGTTCCCTATTCTCAAAGAGTGTATGGTCTAGTAGGGGATTTTATAGCATGTATTCAACACATATCAGTGTGAATCTAAGAAAAAACATCATCAGACATTTTTTAACTCCCAAGGCTGAAGTTAGCAAGTTCTCTGCATTTTTCTTCATAGCACTTTATCTAGTTTCTTTTGGGGGATTTTGGAGTTTAGAAATAAATTTTTGAAAAGTACCACATGGGTGCAAAGTCCATTGTAGGATGCTGTCATGGAGTATTACAATGAATGTTGTTTGGTTAGACTGAAAAAGGAAAAAAAATTTGTGCTAATTCTGTGTGTGTGTTGGGGGTATGAGTTCACCCTATTAAATCTGGAATTATAGACGCATGTGTAGAGCCTTCATAAATATGTATGTGTATGTCTTCTCTGCAGGATCAGCCTCCAACTTCAGCTTTTTCCGGTGGATGAGGTCTCTTCTGATCCCCTCCTGCAGGTCTGTCCCAGTCTGGGGCCAGTACCAGGACGGATGAGCGTCCAGGGTCCTGGGAGGTGCTAAGAGTGCCCCATTCCCGGCTGGGCTTGGTCCTGGTGTGGTGTGGGCACCAGACAACGGGGACCCTCCAGGAGACTCCGATGTTGCCACTCCCCGCCCTCCACCACACCCGGCCCCCAGCTTCAGCTCAGCAGATGCTTCCTCTGACTCATGTCCTCGTCCCTTCTTATCCTCACTGGTCGTGAGCAGAGGGTTTATTTAAGATCTGATTGCTGGGGCGATAAGTCAAGAGAGTAGCTACTCTCAGTGAGTTTACAGTCTAAGCCCCATTGGCAGCACTACGCAATCACGCACAATTAAAGCCCACAGGAAAGAAATGTAAAGCCAGGACACACGTTCTTCCATCTCGAGTCAGAGGTGTTTAACAGTTGACGGGACTGTGCAGAGGCCAAGTAAGAAATAAAGCAGAGATCTCTGGGCTTCCGTGTCCAGATTCCCAGGGCGCGGGGGCAAACCTTCCTGGGGGGCAGGAGGAGGCCTCACGGAGAAGGCGACATCTCCCGGTGCCACAGTCCCTTTCCTTCTCCCCCAGTCCTGCAGTGCCGATGCTTCCTCACCTTGGAAGGCCTCGGGATTTGGGGGAATGGCTCCCACCCACTATCCGTTTCAAAATCAATGCGGCGCCAATGCTGCAGGCTGGGAAAATCCAGGCAGAACCCAACCCAGTGTTTATTTGGTTTCGTTTTGTTGGTTTGTGTTTGAAACTCTACGTGTCAGGTTCGCACTTGCCTGTATTTCCACCTCCCAGGCCCAGACACTGCTAGTGGATCAGGGGACCCTTTCCCGTTGATCCCAGATGTCAGTTCAGAATCCTTTCTTTTCCCTTCATTTTTTTTATTGTGGTAAAATACACAGAACATAAGATTTATCATCTTAACTATTTCTGAATGTAGAGTTCAGTGGCATTGAGTACATTCGCATTGTTATGCAACCGTCACTGCCATCCATCTCCAGAACCTTTCCATTTTCCCAAACTGAAGCTCTGTACCCATTAAACAACAATTCCCGTTCCCCAGAATCCTTTTTAAGACAGCTCTTCACAAGCACTGCCAGCGCTACAGGAAATAGGACTGCGGGGCTAGAGCTTGGGATGAAGAGAAGGAGCAAGAACTGTAGAAGCCAATGGGAGAGACAGCCTGGCAGGGGGTGCGGGGAGAACTCCGCAGCTGCCTGGGCTGGCTGGGCCCCGTGTCCTGTGTGGAGCTGCAGCAGGGTGGGTGACCTCTCTGCCTCTGATCAGTCCGAAGCACAAGGTTTGGCGATCCTGGTCACGACACACCTTCATTGACCTCCTTTCCCCTACAACCTAGCCCTGAGGGCAAGTGGAGTTTAAGTGGAGACAGATTCTGTGTAGAAGCAGCCTACAGATTCTGCAGCTGCAAGTGGTGTGTGGGTGCTAATATTTGGCCTTGCCCGGTTTGCAGGGATATTTTTAGTCATTTCTGGTTTTAAAGCCTAAAAATGGCCATGGAAGGTGACCACGCCTTATGCTGCACTCTGAATCCCTGGGATTTCTCCTCAAAGGTCACGGCAATGCTATGTGGGAAGGAGAATGTATTAGGAGGAGATTATTCTTAGAAAAGGACAGTACTTTGGTTGGAATAGAACCTAGTCCATGCCATTCGTAACACAAGTCGCGGGTTCTGTGGGCTGTGAAATGGGGTGACAAAGGCCTCAGCTAAATCAACATCGAACTTGCTGGTCGTCGTGGCTGCTGGGAGGTATTTGGGGATGGTTACTCAGGAGGGTGAAAGGATTTAGAAATGGTGATTTATTTAAAAATAGAGGATTTTCAAATAAATCACTATTGTGATTAATAATCACAATAAGTATGATTATTATTAATCACATTTATTGATTAATAATCATTATTAATCAATGTGTATTTTCTACTTTGTCATTTTGAGCTCCCTCACCCCTCCACCAACTATAGCCCCAAATACCCTTCAAAACTAAAGACGATGACCAATGTAGAGTGTGTTTGGGCAGAAGAATCTGGCTAGGTTACTTTCCCTGATACACCTATGGTCCCCAGTAACCGTGTGAAGTTAAGCCTGACCTTGAGAAGGCTTTCTTTCCTGAAGCCCTAGCAACTGTGCAGATGAGGATTCTTAAGCCATTCTAGACTAGACAGTGAAGTACATTATGTCCCCAAACTCAGAAGGATGTAATTATTTCACCTAAAAAAAAAAGAAAGAAAGAAAAAAAGAAAAATTAGCAAAAACAAAATGAGATATAATACATTGGCAAAAATACTTATATGTTGACTGGTATGGTATTTTTGTCACTTTCTAACCTTACTTTTTGGACATTCAACCTTTATAGAAGGTAATTCAGTTCTCAGAAACCCTCAAGCCATATAATTTATTAATAGATACGTTCTCAACAAATGGCTGTAAAGCCTTGGTCATGTCATCCAAACTCATAGAGCAGGAAAGACATTTTGCCAGAGTCAGTTGAAGCTTTCTGCTAAGTTCCACAAATTTAGAACATAGAATTCTACCTTTCAAAAATTCTTAAATATATTCCTGATTTAAACAATTGAACCTTACTACTAGTAAAGTAGATGAATCTTTCAGAGTAAAATTTTTAAGAGGAAATCCATGCCTAAGTCGTGACTGAGGACCTAACGTAGACTGAAGGAGGAGGAAGAACTGTGGGAAGATAAGAATATAGAGGCAAAAGGAGGCAGAGAGGCTTCCCGAGGCCACTAAGCTGATTAGGGACAGAGTGGTGCCCCAAGACTGTCTTCTGTGGCTGCCCTGACTGCCACTCTGAGCTTTCCTCACTCCATTCCTCCTTCAGCACTTTCCCACGTACCCTAGCATTTCGTCACCACTTTATTCCAACTCCAGCTGTGTGCAGAGCCTGCAGTGACAATGGGATCTCGATCGGACTTGCTCTTTGTCTTGAGGCCACCTTGGTGTGAAAAGCCTTCGCAGTTTCCCTCTTAGCTGCTTGCCATGTAAACCTTCGCTCTGGAAATCATTCCTCATTCAACTGTCTTTCCAATGAATCAAAAAGAACGTTTCTCTTTTCACTCTTCTCAATTTTGCCATCTTTTCATTCCGTTATTTCATTTGACAAAAAAGCAAGGAAGGCCAGGCGTGGTGGCTCACGCCTGTAATCCTAGCACTCTGGGAGGCTGAGGCGGGAGGATCGCTTGAGCTCAGGAGTTCAAGACCAGCCTGAGCAAGAGCGAGACCCCGTCTCTACTAAAAAAAAAAAAGAAAAAAGAAAAAAAGAATAATTAGCTGGGTGTTGTGGCACACGCCTGTTGTCCCAGCTGCTCAGGAGGCTGAGGCAGGAGGATCACTTGAGCCCGGGAGTTTGAGGTTACAGTGAGCTACTATGATGACAGTGCACTCTACCTAGGGCAACAGAGCCAGACTCTTCTCAAAAAAAAAAAAAAAAAAGAAAAGAAAAGGAAAAGCTAGTCCTAACATGACACAGTTTAGAAGGCAAAATCTCTCTTTGTGGGTTACCTCCCGTCAGGTAGGTAGTTTTATACTTTTCTACTTAAGAAGGGTAGATAGCACTCTCCTTATTTTATTTGATACTTAGTATTTCTCATACTTTGAGCTCATAAACTTTTGTACATATAGCCTTCAACGATTGTTTTAAACATCTAAATACGTGTTGAATAATTAGGACAACTGAACGTTTTTACAAATAATTTCTCTATCCTGAGTAGACTCGTCTCCCCTCTTCAGTCTCCACTTGTTCTTCTCCTCTCACCGTCCTCTGTGTCTCTGTCACTGAAGGAGCTTGCGGTCCCCCCAGGAGCAGATAATTTTGGCACCGTCCCTGGCCAGGGTTGACATGGCGATGACGCAGCTCACCCAGGAGAACGCAGACTTCGCCACTCGGGACCGCTACCACCACTCCTCCCTCGTGAGTCGGGAGCAGCTGATGCCTCGGTACTAGACGCAGCGCTGGGACCTGCCTCTTTGGGTGCTGTCCTGTGCACAGTGGACCCAAGTCCCGCAACCTTTGTGGAGCTGCTCCTACTCAGTGAGAAACTCAAGGCCCGTCCTCCCACTGCTGTTCTGGACAATGGAAACCCGCATTGTGGTCTGGAGCACCACGGCCCACCCAGGGTGACATTAGGAGTGACAGTGGCTCTGCAATACCACACCCAGTCTGAAGAGCTCCACGTGGGACACCAGGACCACCTGTCAGGTGTGGAGAACCAGAACCAGATTGCTTGTTCTCAGGGCCACAATAAACGCTTATTTTATATTTTATTGTATTATTTATTTTTGAATAAATAATACACTCACGTGGTTCAAAATCCCAAAGTATAATCACATAGAGAGTGAAAAGTTTCCTCCCTTCCTTGTTCCCCGTCTGCTCAGTTCCTGTCCCCTGGCCCAGAGGTGACCACTGTTCTCACGCAGACTTCCTGCATTTCTTTGTGAATATACAAGCAAATAGGGATGTGGATTCTTATCTCTCTCTTTTTACACACAAAAGGTAGTATGTTTTACATATGTTTGCACCTTGCTTTTTCCCCTTAACAATCCATCTTGGAAACATTTCCATATCCATACATATGCAGTTTCCTCATTTTTTTTCACTGTATATATGTGCTATAACTTATTTCACCAGTTCCACAATGATGGGCATTTGGATTGTTTCCAATCTTTTGCTATTACAATCAGTTCTGCAGTGAATAATCTTGCACATACATACAAGCGTAAAGTATATTCATAGGAGAAATTCCCAAAATTTTGTATTTAACTGCAACTAGATTGTGTAAATAGTAATATTAATCAGGTCTTGGCCCGGGTTCCCTGGGCAGCAGAAGTTTACGAGCTACCGCCGTATTGGACAGTGCATCGAGGGAGGCAGGAGGGGGAGAGGAGGAGTGAAGCAGGAGGGAGGGTTAGCAACCACTGAGTATCACGTGCAACTAGATGCTTGGTGTCCAGGGAAAGGACTCTTCTGAGAGCCTATAGGAACATCAGACGTAGGAAGGGATCAGAATTTATCTACTGGTTTCTGTTTCCCATAATCAAAGGTTAGCTTCAAGTGGGCATTAACCACCCCTACAACTGTGATTTGCACACGCACGAGTGCCTAGCAGTTCTGCAGCACGCAGAAACTGGCAGGAGCCCATCCAGACCTGGTCGTTGCAGGGGCGGCTGAGGCAGAACAAGTGGCCTCAGCCCCAGAGACAGGTGGGGCAGAGAGGATCTGATGTTGCACATTAAGAGGTGTTATATATAGCCGGCATGTTGACAAAGGTCGGTAGCAAGTACAGGTTGTCAGAAAGACAAAACATGCATGTCACTGGATCATTCTTACTTATCTAAAGGATGCCCCCAAATGTCAGCACGGTTGGTATACATGACAGTGAGACTAGCAACATTTTCTAAGATAGAGAGGCAGATTCCTGGCCTAAAAGTTTTACCAAGGAGTCCACAGTTGTAGGTGATAATGTCTGAACGAGTGAGGATTGTGTCAGACCACCTGGGACCACGAATGTCTCCCCTTAGGCCAAGTTGTCTAAAGATTGATCCATCCGACGATCCAACTCCACCTACCCACTCACCAATCACTGATCCATCCACCTACCCACCCACTGATCTACCTATCTACCCATCCATCCATCCATCATCCATCTACCCATGGCTGGAGACACTATACTCATAACTTTGTAGATAGGTGCCTGAAACCGCCTTATCTGAGTCAGTATACCTCACCAATCTCAGAGCTTTGTAATATAAAAATATTATCACAGACCATTCAGGTATAAACAGACTCCTAAGGTACCACCCTCAAACTTTCAGAATGAGAACAGCCCAATCCCAGAGCATTCTTAAACTCAGGGCTAGGAAACACCACCCTGTTGCCCACAGAATGAGGAGGGAAGTCTGAAGAATGATAAAAATCTATCCTCAAAATTTCATAGGGCTTTATTTAAAAAAATAAGTTTGCATGATTTAGGCCCAGGGAAAATCCAGCTTAAGATCTGCTCCTTCCCTGATAATTGCGTTATTGTTTCTGCTCTCCTTGCTCTGCGGGAGCTGGGGTTCCCCCTCTGAGATCAGGCCAGCAGGGGCAGAAGCTGAGGAACCCACCAAGTGCGCAGAGCTCCAGAGCTCCAGCTGTACTTGGAGCTGCTGGAGTGGGTTGTGGGGGGCAGAGTGGAGCCAGGAACAAAATGAATGGCACACACGGTCCTGATGTATTGCTTTTCTACTGCTGCTATAACAAACTACCACAAATTCAGTGGCTTAAAACAACGCACATTATTTTCTTATACTTCTAGAGGTCAGAAATCTGAAATGGGTCTCACTGGGCTAAAGGCAAGGCATGGACGGGGCTGCGTCCTTCTGGAGGCTCTAGTGGGCATCTGTTTCTCACTTGTTCCTGCTTCTGGAAGGGCCCACATTCCTTGGTCAGGCAAAGCCTGCAGTCAGCAGTCACACCTCCTCCCCGTCTGCTCCTGCCATCACATGTCCCTCTCTGGCCTCCGGCCTCCCTCTTCTGCGTGCGTGGCTCCTCCAGCATGAGCTCCCCATCTCAAATCCTTCACCCGATCACATCTGCGCAGCCCCTTTGCCCCGTAAGTGACATCTTCACAGGTTTGGGGATGAGGACCCAGCTGTCTTTGCAGGGGCATCCTTCTGCCTGCCACACCTGCCTCGGGGGCTGGGGAGCTGCACACATGAGAGGGCTGGAGCGCAGTAAACACAAGCGCACGGTGTGCAGCTGGGCGGCCCTGCAGGACGGATCCAGGAGTGCTGGGGAGACGATGAGAGGGGAAGAAATCCAGGAATCTTCTTGGAGGAAGCGGGTTGTGAACCATTGGTGAGAGGGTACAGCAAGGCTCTGAACCACGGGAACGAGATGGACCAGAGACACAGGAGGCAGAAGGACCCAAGCCAGAGAGAGCAGGCTCAGCTTCAGCCTGACAATTCTTCCTAACTTTACTTCTAATGGGCTCGCGTGAGAGGGAGGTGGGTGTAGTCTCACATTCATGGGATTTGGGGAAGAAAATAAATCTCTGTTTGAACCCTGGCTCTACCACTTACTAGCTCTGTGACCTTGGGCAGGCATCTTAATCTCTTTGAGCTTTGGTTCCCTTCTCTGTAAAATGGGAATTATAATTTCTACCTGCCTCCATGTGGAGTGGTTAGAACTAAGTAAAAGGAAACTCACATTTTTTTGGAGGAGATAAAGAGGGGGTGTGGGTGAAGGGTGCAGGGGAGTGTCTTAAACATGTTCTCCTACCACCCCTGCTGATTCCATGTCACTGCAGGCAACACAGAAAGAATAAAAAACCCCAAACCATGAGAACTGCAGTGCTTCTTGGCACCTGCTAACCTGGAATTTCAGAGCATGGTGGACACCTACTGCTTGAGTAGGCCTTGCCTTATCTTGTGAGCCACAGACACAGTGGGACACCTTCCCTAGCAGAGGGCAGGAAATCTGCATGCCCACATCAGAGTGAGGGTTGCTCCCTGCCCACCCCTGGCCCACCCCCTTGGCCTATCAGGTTCATTTGGCCACTTCCCTATATAACTCCTCCATTCAGCTCTCTCCCTCCCTTCCTGGAGCCTTAGGAATTTTTCTTAAATACCAAAAAACCTACCTCATTCTCCAGTTCTCTTGAACTAAGACATCCTCCAGAGCAAATGACCCACTCTTTGCTGTGTCTGTTCCCCTCCAGGTCCACATAGACGCCCGAGAGGAGGGGATCTGCAGTGATGGTCGCACGGGCTGGGGTTATTCCACACTGTTTGCACTTCCCCAGAGGCCGGGGAATTGCAGAAGTCAACTCAGCATCCGTGCACCTTGGAGGTGCACCTGGACTCCTCTGGGAAGCTCACAAGTAGAAGCAGATGCCAGTTTGTCTGTTTGAGTCAGGAAGGAGGGGCTTAGCCCCCTGACCCTTGACGAAGTATCTTCTTGGGGAGGTCACATTCAAGTAAAAGGCAAAGCAGATGGCGAGAAAGACCCACCAGCATCAGGGGTCCCTCACTGGCTGTGCTCCCGGGAATGCAGCCCACCCCGCAGCAGCAAGGCTGGCACCTGTCCCCTGTTCCCTGGCTCCAATGGGCCAGGGGTGAGCGGGGGACACAGACTCACCACCACTCACTGAGGTGAGGGGGGCCGCAGCCACCCTCTAAAAGAGGAGGAGCGGTTCTCTAAATGGAAGTCTCTAAAATAACGGACAGCTGAGATTTTTCTGTTTTATTTTGTTAAAAAAAATTACAGCAGTGAGTGTGTGTGTGTGTGCACACACACTCTCCTGTTTCTGTTAGAGAAGGCACTATATTAAAAAGCTGGACTCACCAAATGTGAAGCCTGGCTTCAAATATGGGCCATGTGGTATACATCAGATTGGCTTCGGGAAGCTCTGAGGGCAGGTGGCGTTTCCGAGGATTAGCAGTCGTACCCAGCAGTCAGCAGGAGGGCTTGATGAGTTCTGATCTGTGAGATGTGACATATACCATGTGTATTAAGAGGCTGATGGTGGAGAAAACAGCACTGGTTTCAAATATGAACCCCAAACTGAAAGTCACGAGGGCAAATGCTCCAAATGGCATGTCAATTTCTATACTGATCAAGCTGCTTCTCACACGGGCAACTCAATGTGACTCTGTGTGCTTGTATCAGTCAGAGTGGGCTTATTGCTATGACAAACAGCCCCCAGATCTCAGTGACTTGACCCTGTAAATTCATTTCTAGCTCATGCTACATTCTAACACACGTCGGAAAGGAGGGAGGGGTTCTGCTTTACGCTGTCATTTAGGGACCAGGGCTCCTTCAGTTTAGTAGCTCGAACATCTTCTGTGCCCTCAGCATCTTCCCCTGAATTCTTGGGGTCCTGCTGGCAGATGAGAGAAGAGACAGACACCTGGGGGAGCCCAGGGAGGTTTTAGGGGCCCAGGCCAAAGGGCTCATACCGCTTTCTCCTGCATTCAGTTGGGTCAGAACTAGACTCTTAGTCTATCTAATTGAAAGGCAGGCCAGGAAACACAGGCCAGCTGTGTGCTCAGGAAGAAGAGGACCGGGAGTGGTGAGCCTCTGGCCAGTCCCTGCCACTGTGC